TACTGCTACTACTACTACTACTACTACTGCTACTACTACTGCTACTACTACTACTACTACTACTACTACTACTACTACTGCTACTGCTACTGCTACTGCTACTACTACTGCTACTACTACTACTGCTACTGCTACTGCTACTACTACTGCTACTGCTACTGCTACTACTACTCCTACTACTACTACTACTACTACTACTACTACTACTACTACTACTGCTACTGCTACTACTACTACTATTGCTACTGCTACTACTACTACTGCTACTACTACTGCTACTACTACTACTACTACTACTACTACTGCTACTACTACTACTACTACTGCTACTACTACTGCTACTACTACTGCTACTACTACTACTACTACAACTACTACAACTACTACAACTACTACTACTACTGCTACTACTGCTACTGCTACTACTACTACTACTACTGCTACTACTACTACTACTACTGCTACTACTACTGCTACTACTACTGCTACTACTACTACTACTGCTACTACTACTACTACTACTACTACTACTACTGCTACTACTACTACTACTACTACTACTACTACTACTACTACTACTACTACTGCTACTACTACTACTACTACTACTGCTACTACTACTACTGCTACTACTACTACTGCTACTGCTACTACTACTACAACTACTACTACTACTGCTACTACTGCTACTACTGCTACTACTACTACTACTACTACTACTGCTACTACTACTACTGCTACTACTACTACTGCTACTACTACTACTACTACTGCTACTACTACTACTACTACTACTACCACTGCTACTACTGCTACTACTACTGCTACTACTACTACTACTACTACTACTACTACTGCTACTACTGCTACTACTACTACTACTGCTACTACTACTACTACTACTACTACTACTACTGCTACTACTACTACTACTACTACTACTACTACTACTACTGCTACTACTACTACACACCCCCATCATCAGAGAGGCTGGCGATGTTTCTGTGTGTTGATATATGGCTTTGTTTTTGCATGATAGAGCTTTATTTTGCACTTGTAGAGATGGCCTGGGTTCACTGACAATGATTTTCTGAAGAGTTCTGTTTTAAATGCAGGACTGCCTAAGGGGTTGAAATTCATGGTGGACATTCAACATCTGCAGAGATTTGTCCAGATTCTGAATCTTTTGATATTAGACTATAGATTTAGAAACCCCTGAATTTGTTGCAATTGTTAATTGAGAAAAGTTGTGCTCTAACTGTTGGATTATTTTCTCATGCAGTTGTTCACAAAGTGTGAACCTCATCCCATTCTTGTGTGTGAAGGACTGAGCCTTTCGGGGACGCTCCCTTTATACCCTATCTTGACACTCATGTGTTTCTAAGTAACCTGTTCTGTGGAATGCTCCAAACAGGTGATATTTTTGCATTCCTCAACATTTCCAGATATTTGCCAACTTCTTTGTAATTTGGGTTGTAAGATATTTTTTCTATATTTTCCTAACAGAGCACTTCGCTCTCAGACTGCAGGTTTACTTGTGGTTCCTSGAGTTTCTAAAAGTAGAATGGGAGGCAGAGCTTTCAATTATCAAGCTCCTCTCTTGTGGAACTAACTTCCAGTTTCTGTCTGTGAGGCTGACACTCTGTCTACTTTTAAGATTAGACTGACGACTTTCCTTTTTGATCAATTCTAGTTAGGAGTGAGTTATTCCTTAGTTCTGCTGCAATAGACTTAGACTGCTGGAGGACAACATTTCCTCACTCTACTTCACATGTTTCATTAGTAACATGTTTTTATTCCCATTAAAAAGTAAACCTGGACCAGACATCCTGTGTCTGTGTCTCTTAACTCCTCTGTAACCTTTTCTTGTCTGTTATAAAAACAAACTGAACTGAGGTTGAAATAAACTGTGAAAATGCAGCGTGAATGCTGAGTGCTGAATGACAATAAAATTTGTTGAGTTGTGAATTCAATAACAGCTGCACTTTTAATTTTACTTCAAATATCCGAAAAGAGAAATAAAAAAGTAGAAAAATAAAAAGCCGAGGTATTCATAAAGACTAAATGATGCAATAGGAGACATTAACTACAAAATAAATGATAAAAAGACAAACCAATAATTTACMTGGAGACAGAAGAAGTTGCATAAATAGACAAAATGAATGCATAAGATAAAAATGGTGCATAAAAAGACAGTAAACAAGTGGTTAAAATCAGACAATGGTCATCGTTACAGAGCCACAATGTTTCCGTTGTGTTTTATTCAGGGAAGCAACACATGGTCACAACATCCTGCATCAACAGGCTGATACAGGACATATGGAGCATATGGTGGGACATCAGTGGGGAAATTCAACTAACTACCTAACTCAAGAGCCAAAAACAAATGAAGAATACTAAAATGACTTAAAAAGACAGTGAAGATGCATAAGAAGACAAAATCATTACATAAAAACACAAATAAAAACACGTGACAAAGCTTGAAGACACAAATGTTTTGTCAGTCAAAGCTGTTGTTAAAAGTCTGAAGGAGGAAAGTTGAGGGTTCTCTTCCACATGAGGGGCCATGTCTCTGTGGCACTGACAGCAGCTGGACAGATGGAACAAGCTGCATCATGAGGAACTGACCACTACTTGTACTTGTATAGCGCCTTTCTACCCAACCAGGATACTCAAAGAGCTTCACACTACAATCTGTGTCCTCATTTACCCATTCACACAGCAACTCTATTAGGTCTCTACAAAGCTAACATGTACAATCATCT